ATTGCCTCCCTAGTCCTTCCTTAATTCTAGCGTTATTTCCTTAATTCTAGCATTGTGGTATCTCAGAGTTTAACAAACAATCTCCATTCACAAGAACTAAGGTCATTATAAGATTTCTTCGTATTTTTTCACATTGAGCAGATTCACACTGACCCATAATTCTCTAAATTGATGGTACTTTCTTTCTTAGAATCTGCCTCCTAAGGATAGCTTTGATCTTTTTGGTGACCATGAAATAGAATATTATGATTTTAGTTGGCATTTCCCTTGTTGAATATCTTTTTTTTCAAAGATTTGTTTATTTGTTTGATGTGTATGTGCATCTTGCCTGATGTGTGTATATCTATATACCTCATGCATGCAGTACCCATGGAGGCCAGAAGGGGGAGGTGAACCTCTTGGACTTAGAGTTACTGATGGGTAAGAGTCACCATGTGCATGCTGGGAATCAAACCTGCGTCTTTTAGGAGAGCGGTCAGTACTCTAAGCCACTGAGCCATATCTCTAGCCCCTCCTACAGCCAATTAAGCTTGGGTAGTCCCTGGGAGCATCCTGTCTCCTTCCCACCCTGGCAGGAGGCCTGCTGGAACCCGTAAATTAAGACTTTTGCATTTGACATTTGGGCTGGGAGAAAGCGAAAACCGATCTAATAATAATTAGTTATGGTTTAGTATGTGAGATTGGAGCATTCTCGTTTTTCACTCTGGAGCCTGGTGAGAAGGAGTGACGGAGAGATGGGAGATTGATGGCAAACAGAGCCTCTCACTGTTCCCATGCCAAGAGCAGCAAACGATCCTCGGGCGCCTCCTTATATCACGTTAAGAGTCCATGACAGCCCTAAAAGGAATGGAGAAAGCCAGCAAAGGTGGGGGATAAAGAGTTTCCTTTTATTGTTCTCCGAGGCCAGGCATCTTGGCACACGCATCAGTGCCTGCTCACTTTGTAAAGACCTCAGTCTCCCGCCAGCCTACCTCTCCAGGCTCCAAGAAGGAGGGCTTGGGCTCAGATCGCTGCCTCTGTTAAAGAGCAGCTTGTTTGTGTAACTCTGGGGATACAATTCCTCTCCATTTAATGAAGTGGAGCGATGTTGTGGATAAGACGTGACCCGACACAAACTCTAAAGTCCAAACATTATGGGATAAACCCTTCCCAGAAATGTCCAGTGTTTCTACCGTGTAAAATCTGTGTTGGCTGAGTTGGTTGCTATGGGAGAATTTTATTAACTTTTTGAAGGGAAAACGGGGGTGGAGGGGAAAGCAGTGTCTCTGTGTGTGTATGTGTGTACATGCCACATAGCTGCCATATGACATAGTATAGTGAGATCTGCCCACTTCTCATTGGTGGGAAATTTGGAGGATGGACTCTAAACTGGTCAAGAAGAGAAGTGTAAAATGATTCATGAGCATCCCTCTGTCCAAGAAGGTTCCGGAGAGGAAGAACAGATGGCGTCTTTCAAAGAATGGCCCTGCAGCTTTTCTCTGTGTCCCCAAAAGGCCACAATTAATGTGGCTGCAGGGTTGGGGCTGAACAGAAATCCAAGAACACACTGAGAGTTGGCCACCAACATCAGATGACCTGGGCCTGCTCATATCTGATTCTGGTGCCCAGGGCTACCCTGGAGATGACCGGACAGACACTGCCCAGCTTCAGGGACATGTAACAGGCCAGCATCGCAATGAGCTACGTGTCTACCTTTACTCATCATGGGAAAGATTGTGTAAAAAGCCACGGATGGGTATTTCGGCAGAAGGCTACATGAAAAGACACAGGGGTGTGGTGACAGCGGATAAATGGGACTTCCCATGCCATGAAGAAACAGCACAAGGTTTAAGCTTTCTCCTTGTTCAGTAGTCAGGACCCTATTTAACTCCCCGCCTCCTCAAAATGTCTGTGTTCCTCCTATGTCCCCATTAGTCTGCACAGCTGGTTGGAACCAGGGGCCAGGCCAGGGACAGAAAGCTTCATCCGGTTCTCGGGTGAACGCCTGCTTTCAGGGTGTTTCTGCAGATCTGAGCATCGTTTTGAGCTATTTTCTAAAATCCAAGTTTTCTGCTGATAGCACTAAAAACCAGTGCTAAAACTAAAAGAAGGAGAGATTAGATTACGACTTCCAGAAGGAATGGTGTTTTGCTAAATGCTGGAGTCTGCGAGAAAACTCAAGGGCAGGCAAACGGCTTCTGCTGAGGAAGAGCCCTGAGCGTGTAGAGTGGGGGTCCTTTGAGGAAGGGTTGAGACCAGCAAATAGTCTTGGATTTGGAGATTGAATGTTCATAGGAATTGACAGAAATGTGCACTTTCAAATTGAGTCGGGCGTGAGTATCATTTAGGAGCTGCCTCCACCACTGGTTTCTGACTCAGTCTTGCAGAGGTGTCTTCTAGCAAGTTCCTGGGTGCTTGGACTGGTCTGGGCTGCATTTCCAATAAAGACATTCATAAAGCACATTTATGAATACCCACACCTGCACCTGTGTTCTGGCAGCACTGTAGTGGGCTGTAATAAAGCCAGTACGCACCGGGCCCTTTTCTTGCTCTCTGCCGGAGGTTTCAGGAGTGAGACAGACACAGCTGCCGGCAGTGATGACCCAGGTGCTCCATCCCCAGCATTGCCACTGTGAAAGTGAAGTTGGGATTGTGGGAAGGGGATCGGAAGAGCTTCAGTATACAGAGGGGGAGGTGAGCTGAGAGAAGAGGGGGAAGGAAAGGGAGGGGAAGCCAGAGCTTTCAGTTTCAGCTCCAGCAGAGACACCAGCAGCAGCAGAGACACCAGCAGCTTTAAAAACTTCACACATTTCTTAACCCCTCTGAACCTCAATTTCCTCCTCTGCGAAACTGCTGAGCTGGAAGGCTTGTCTTTCCATTGAAATTCTTAGTTGCAGTCAAGTGAAGTCCATCCTGGCTGATTTAAGCAGAGAAGAAATTCATAGCAAGGATATTGGGTTTTAGGGGTAAATGAACTGTCTCCCTAGCAAATCAGTGGTCTGAAACAAGTGAGAGGGGGCTGGCGTTGATGGAAAGACTTGTGGGAGGCAACTGGAGGGTTTCCCATGGATGGTGATGGAGGTGAAAGACAACAGGGGCATCATACACAGCTGAGTGTCACTCAGTTTAGAATGACTGTGAACGCTGTTTAGGGTAATTTGACACGAAGGCCATCTCCTTGTAGAGTTCCTATGGCAAACTAGAATGCCAAGGCGTTAGCAGGTGAAATAACACCATGTTTGAGATCTGCATTAGAGAAAAAAAAAAAAAGAAAGCCGCAGAGAAAGAAGCGGGTGAGAAGGTTCAGAGAGGAGGGAGCAAAGGCTGCAGAGGCAGCATTGGCAACATGATGATTGCTGGTGGGTCCTGGCGGAGAATCCACAGGGAGTATTTTCTGCTGGAGGACGTGTGCATGCTTGCTCATAGGTGTTTGAAGTTCATGGCAAAATGTTCCAGTGGAGCAGAAAACATTCTTTCCAAGAGCCTAGATCACAAGGATCTTTGCTACCAACTGGCAAAGGTGGCTGGGGAGGGACTCTCTACACTTCCAAACTCTAAGGTAGGTGGCGTCTCTGCCATTCAGGAATCTTCAAGGAGTAGGAGTTTCCCAGGGTCAGAGAAGGTGACTGAAAGGTGTCATAAATGTCCCTAGAGGCTCCTAGTGATCCCCAAGCCATGTAAGTGCCACCTCTTCTTCCTATCCCTGAGATGAGTGTACCCCGAATCCCCATCTTGTGTCTGATTTTCTTACTTAACCTTCTTGAATATCAGTTATTTGCCAATCTCTTAAAATGTTCAAATTCATTCAAATGTGGGGAACTTTGGGCCAGCCCATCAGAGCAGACTTTGTGTTAGAGGAACACACTAGATAAAACTGCCTTGTGCCCACATGTATCCCATCTTCTCTTCCATTTCTGTCCCAGACCCACAGAGGCCCTCATCACCAGTATCAAATAGTTCCCAGCACAGCTGTCACGGAACATGGTGTTCCGTCTCTGGTCCCTTGGTTCTGCTGTGCAGCCCTTAACCATCTGCCTGCTCTAGACGAACCATCTTGTTGGCTCCTCCATAACCTGTACACAGAGCAGTGGTTTCTGTGTTTCCACTACCTTGAGTCTCCTCTGAGGCTGCTGTTGGGGTGCCATGATGGATTGTTATGTGGTCCAGCATGTGTTTTCATAGCAGAAGTTGAGTACTCTAAAGCAACTAGAAAATACATGAGGCTGTAAGTAAATAAGCCAGTAGCGCTTATATGTCATTGTCTGGATTCTGGGCTGTCCATGATCTACCATGCTGAGCTTTTACTCAGCTGGAATTCAGTAGGTTTGCTTATGCCACCATTAGCACAAGTGTGTGAGAATACATTGTGCTCTAATCAAATAGGGCGATGCCATTAGTCAAGGGGAACTTTACGGTCTGTGATATTCCCAGTGGCTGTTGCCAGGTGTGTGACTGCTGACTGAAGCATCTGGATACAGTGCACAGCTATAGCTTCACCCGGGTGAGTCACAGTTAAGAATGTGACTGCTGGAGAGATGGCCTGGCATGGGACACCATGCCCAGAGAGTTCCCTGTGTGTTAGGCAAACGCTCTACCAACTGAGCTAGATCTTTGGCTCTCAATGACTTCTTACCAAAGGTCAGAACCTTATATTTCTGAGTAAGCAGAAGCTAAAGCAGCAACCCTATGGAAGTGGTCTATCTGGGCAGTGATTCCAGAAAAGGGTAAAGGGGTGGGAAGGAGGAGGGCAGGGAGAGGACCCTCTGGCATGATTAATAAAAACAGAGAGAGAAATTGGGGTTCAACCTGAAGGTCAGAGAAGCAAAACAGCCACTGGCTCTTATCACTACCTCAGTCCGAAATGGTGATCTTGCTCCTAAGATTTCAGAGTGAGACTGTGTCTGAGAGCTGTCTCCTCCCATCTTATAATCCTCTCTAGTTCTGCATTAAAGGCGTGCACCACTACCGCCTGGTTTCTGTGGCAAGCTAGTGTGGCTACTGGGATTAAAGGTGTGTGTTATTGCTGCCTGGTCTATAAGTGTGACTGTTTTACTTTTCTGATCCTCAAACAAATTTTATTCATTAAAGTACAAGTGAAATACCGTTCTACCCGCCATTGGCTCTGTGCTAAGCCTTCCGCTACTGAGGGCAGCTGGGAGTCCACCCTGCCGTACTCTGCAGAGATAATTGCTCAGAGTTGCCCATCTGTTTCACTTAATCCCGCATCACTGGACGGTGGCTGCTGTGTGTCCACAAACTCCTTGTCACATGATCAGAGCATACTCTTGGTTTGTGTAGGCCTGCTGCAGGTTCCAGGGGAGCTGTGGAACGAAGCGTTAAATTGAATTAAGTATCCGATGTGGACAGCTTAGAAAACAAAGATTCTGAGCAAAATAATTAAGCATCCAGAAACCTACTACCAAGAAAGGTAACAACAAATGTTTAACACTGTACCTCATACACACTGGGTGCTCTGTGTTCATCAACACAAAGTCACCAGTGATTGGAATGTGAAGCTTTCTTTGGGGATCACAGTACTAGCTGCTAGTGAGAATTTTATTTCCAGTTGCTTTTGACTAAGTCGTTCTCATTTTCCCCATAGCCACAGCTGTGCTAACAAGGACACTGATAATACAGGACTTGCAAGGGATTTTTTTTTTTTTTAACACAGAAACTAAAACGTGGTGGTGCTGGGCCTTGGAGGCTATGACACTTGACAGAAAGAACTTGAGAAAGGAGTCATAGTTTCAGGGGGTCAACTCCTGTCTGAAGTCTTGGAGGGAAGGTCAGGCCATTACTTAGGGAGCTTATGAGGTTCTTCATGCCATGGATGATGAAGCAGCGGATGAAATGGCAGGAGCCAGGGCCGGTCTGTAACCTTTTGAGGCCAACCCTCAGTGGCCTACTTCTGCCATGCAAGCCCCACTTCCTGAAGGCTCCACAGCCTCCCACAAGGGCAGCACCCGATGAGGGCCAAGCATTCAAAGCATTAGCCTGTGTGGCACATTTCAGATTCAAAGCAAGCACTGCCAAGGCAAAGGCAGGGGCTTCCAGCAGCATTCTGGCACCAGGCTTCCTAAGCACTCGGAATTCTCTTTTTGTATTTAACAAACATCTCATTTGAATTTTCTCAGTCATGTGGGGGTACTATGAATTACCGTGCATATATAAAAAGAGAAACACGAGCGGAATGAAACAAATTGCTGCTGAGCGTTTTCAAATCTGGATTCCCGATTGCTTTTGGCTGAGTCATTAGCATTTCCCCCATGGCACCGGCTGTGCTAGCAGGGGCATCAGTAACACAGGACTTGCAAGGGATTTTTTTTTTAAACAAAGAAACTAAAACTCAGTGGTTCTGGGCCTTGTAACTGACTCAGATTATGTGGAGTTAGTTTATGTGGCATTAGCCACCACTGGATGCAGATCCAGGAACTCTGTAGAGCCCGCCTGGTTCTATACCAGCTCCTTTCTCCTCTGTACAAACACATCATCCTTGGAATTGAGAGAGAGGTTGGTTACTGCCTCCTGGGTTTTCTGTCAAGAGCTAAATAATCGTATTCAAATTTTGTTGATGAAACTTTTGACTTATTTCAAGCAAAGGAATAACCACAGAACACTCTCTCACCCGAAGTGAGCGTGAGATTTTCTCTGAACTTGGGATGTGCAAATCTGTGTCTTATTTGGTGTTGCTGAGTGGGACGCTCTACAGACTCTTTTCTGTGGTCAGGTCACAGGTGGGAAAACTCCAGCATTCAGGTCAGGAACCTCCATAGTCATGTTGGTTAGCACTTGTGGATGTCGCAGATGCCGTGTGTCTGTGTGTACGCAGATGTCTCGTTACTGCATTTCATCAACTTAAAAGATATCTGTGAAAGAGCTGGAACTAAACTAATACTGAAACTTCAAAGATGTTCTGGAGAAAAACAGGCTTTGGGCACAAAAGTTATGAATAAATATTAGCAATCTTTATGTTCAGGACCTTAACTTTTAATATGTCTGATTATGATTTTTGTTTGAATTGCAAGTAAATTATCTAAGGGGGTGTTTTCCTTCCTTCTGAATATTTTCCTTTATCCAAATCAAATGTTCACAGTTAATCTGATTTCACACTCAGGGTGGTGAAAGCTAAGCCCCTTTGGGACATTCTAAGTTAGAAATGTGAAATAATTTAGACATTTAAGATTTTTTGAACTTAATATTTTTAGGCAGGGATTGCAGGAAACTGAAACTCAGTGAAATTGCAGGTTGAAGTCGTCGACAGGCCCATTTGTAACTACAGGATAACTCAGCCCGTTCCCAGCTAGTATGGCAAAGGGGGACAAGAAAGTGTGAGCTACGTGGGTGACAGATCATATTCTGTGTACATGGTCTCCTGGTCTCATGCCCCCACCCCGTCCTCACCTGGAGTCCCTAGTCACCTAGTCTCCCAGTCCTGACCAACCTGTGCTGTCGCTCCACTGTGTCCTGTAGTCATGTCCCCTCGTCAGCCTGGGGAGACTTCCAACGCCCCAGCGTTTTCTTCCGCAGCAGCTCAGTCTGCTCTCTCTCCAGGGAAGATGAGCACAGAACCACGCTTAGCTATTTAAACAGAGGACAACTGACATGTTTGATTAACATTTCAGAGCTGTGCAATAGTACTTATTTCACATGGTTTCCAGGAACCTTAACCGTGGCGTCCCTTTGTTCTCCACCAAATACTGACCTTCTGGGCCACATCGAAGAAAGAGAAAACGTGTTCATAAAAAGAACACAAATGCAGTCATGGCAAAGTGGGTCACCAGTGGCCACGCCGCAGTTCCTGGGTGCCCACTAAAGTCTTCCTGGAGGCAATTTCATTAAGTCAGAGGTTTTTTTTTTTTTATTTAAAACAACACAACTCATCTTAAGGAATTTTGTTAGAGTAGAAACACACAGAGAAAAATATCACAAAACAAGCCTGCATATTCATGCACCAAATGAGGACCCGGGGTCTGCCTACACTCCAGGGCAAGGCTGAAGAGAACAGGGGATGTCAGTTACAGACTGGGACCCACTGTGGGCCAGAACGGGGGCTGTGTCACCTCATCTGTGTGCTCCATAGACGGCTGACTGAGCGAATGAGAACTTTTACATGCACAAAGCAACTCAAGGCCGGCTCATCGTTCCCTCCTACTTTGATGGGTTTCTTAAACGTAGGTTTTCACACCCTTCAGGTCTCCTGTGCACGGGTTTGGGAGTCTGCTGGAAGCCCTTTCTGTCACTCCCGTGAGGAGGGATCTGCAGAAGCTTTAGTTCCCTTCTACTCCGATGGTTGAATTTACACTTTCCTTCAGATTTCTGGTCCGTTTGGTGAGGATGATTCAGGAACATTCCTTGTACAATAAATGAGGTTGCTTTCTTCAGATAAATCACAGGTGTGTAACTTTTATTAAACAAACTTTCCTAGGTTGAAATTTAAAAATGTGTCAGAGGATCACGAATACAACCCACGAGTCCATGGAAGCTCCTAGAACCCAGCTATTTCAGAAGCGTTTGATGATAATTTTCTGCCTACAGTGGCTAGCCAAGCTAACAGTCATTTTGTTCCCCTTTTCCAATGCATTTCAAGAACCACTTGCCTATCAAGCCTTCCTTTTAAAGTCATTATTTCCTAGAGCACCTCTTTGAACATATTGCTGTGTAAAGTCAATCGTTAGAATATCTTTGGAGTGGAAGAGTAATGATAAGAGAGATCTTGGTAGAGAGAACCTCTATGGGGTTCGGGAGAAGCCTGGTGTTAGGGAAATTCCCAAGAATCCACAAGGATGGCCCCAGGGAGCCCGAACTGGCCTTCCCCTGCAATCAGATTGGTGACTATCCCAACTATCATCATAGAGCCCTCGTCCAGTAACTGACAGAATCAGAGGCAGATTCACAACCAATCACCAGGCCGAGCTCCCGAAATCCAAACAGAGGGAGGGGGGATACAAGAGCAAGGGAGATCAAGATCATGAAGGGGAACTCTACAGAGACAGCTGAACCGAGATAGTGGAAACTCATAAACTCTAGACCACCAGCTGTGGAGCCTCCATGGGACCGAACTAGGCCCTCCATGTGTGGTGAAGCTTGGTCTACCTGAGGGGTTCCTGGCAATAGGATCAGGATAGCTGGTGCATGGCTAGTTTGCTGGGGCCCACTCCCTATGGTGGATGCTGTGCTCAGGAGTTTGGTCCTGCCCCAATTTAATGTGCCAGACTTTGTTGATTCCCCATGGGAGCCCTTACCCGTTGGGAGGAGTGAATGGGGGAGGGTTGGGGGTGGGGGTGGAGGGTAGGGAGAGGAATGGGAGGGAGAACGGGGTTGGAGTGTAAAATGAAATTAAAAATAAAAAAAAAAACCAAAAACTAAAATAAAACCCAATATCTTTAGAAAACATTTACCAGGCAGCAGGACTCAGCCAACCTATTACTGTGTTTTCCTTGAGGATCCTTAACATTTCTGTAAGCTTTTGAGCTGCCCGCAAGAGCTGGCCTTGCACCTGGACCAACGACAGGTCATGTGATACTTGCAATACTCTTCCAGGTAGCAGCTGAGATGTTGTCTCTTCCAGCTTAGACAATGCATGTGCCTAAAATTAGCCAGGGAAAGGCCGCTGGGTCTGGGGATGGTGGGTGGTTCTCTAAGGAACAGACCAGAGAGACCTTGCTTAGCTCGCTCCTTCCGTCTGGGTTCTTTCTCAGCTCGGCCCTTCAGGTGTGTGGATGGAAAGCCGCCCCGCGGTTCTCGGAATTGCCCGAGGATTCTTTCAGTGTCCTTCATCTGGGCCTCTCTAATGAAGTCTGAGCTGTAGCCTGGGGTGGATGCCAGCCTGGAATGCAAGGGGAGGCTGAAAGCTGACACCCGCTCAGCAGAGCAAAGGGCCTTGCACTGAGGTTGTTGCCATGACAACCCGGGTATGTTCCTGGTGACGCATTTACACAACGGGGTTAAAGTTCTTTGAAAGCAGCGGCGGCTGTAAAAACAGCATATTAAATATGCTTCGAGACTGTAGGCTGTGCATTCTCCTCTCGCATTTCATTGAGGGGATTTCTGAATGCACAGGGTGAATTTACAGCAGAATCACTCAACGGTGGGCTGACTATGCACAAATCTCTTTTCTCCATTTTGAAAGGAAGAGACATTAATTTGGGTCATCTTTTCCCCCACTACGGTTTTCCTTCCTTCCTTCCTTCCTTCCTTCCTTCCTTCCTTCCTTCCTTCCTTCCTTCCGTCCTCCCTCCCTCCCTCCCTCCCTCCCTCCCTCCCTCCCTCCCTCCCTCCCTTCCTTCCTGAGTTATCTCTGCATACCAAAATATTTGGTTTCTCCCCTTGCCTACTTGGTATTAATAGACCAGTATGTCTGAAGCAAGACACTTAACGAACAATTTGAAGAAGGGACACCGTCCATGGTTCTAATATGTAGAAATCACTTGCCATGTTTCTTATTTTATTTTTATATTTTTTCTAGTTACCTTTCAATTTTGTATTAACTGATTTTTTCAAACAGATATTTTGAAAAAATAAAGTTAAGCAGTTCAAAATATCCTGATCGTTTTGCTAGACAATCTGTTTGCTGGCTGCCTGTGGGTCCTAAACATCGGGTGGGTAACCACACAACTAATAGACCACACAGCTTTGCCATAGGCACTCTAGCGTCCACCCAGCCTGTTACTGTGTTTAAAGTAACTGGCTTTCTCAGTTTGACCTTAACGTGGACTTTTCTGAGACTTGAGAAATTTACTATTAAAACTGAGAAATACCAGGAAAACCAGGCCTCGCAGGTCACTGCATATTCAGTAATCTCCACTTAATGTCTGTGGACATACCGGGCTGTCCTGAGGTACCGACACCCAGAGTAAGCTAGTCCTTTGGTAATTTAATAGGAATGGCAGCAGATCTATTAGTTCATCTACCTGAGTGTATTCAGGCCTAATAAGAGGCCATAAAACGTATTCCTGAGATGCTCCGAGCCCAGGCTCTCTTGGGTAGGGACCCCTTTGGCCTCTGTCTGCCATCTTGGTCGGAATGAAGAACCACCTTGTCACTGGCCTCAAATCAGTAGAATTCAGCGCTAACCATGAAAGCTCATTCATGTAGTGCTTCTTGTGGGACCTGGGGGAAAGTGGGGCAAGAGTTCCAGACTAGTCTAACAGAGACAGACCCAGTAGATCAACCTTGTCAAATTCCATTCAACTCTCCATCCTGCAGAGGAGCAGAAGGGGCTTCAGAAAGCCCTGGGCACTGATTCTCTGGCCTCTGGGAATATTTGCCTGGGGTGTTTTTCTGTACCAACTGAATCAAGATGTCTTGGTTGCCTACCTCATCTGTTGTCTAAAGTAGGTGGCTGGGGTCATTAAAGGACCAGGACAAGCTTCCGTTTCTTTAAAGTACATGCCATGAAAACATCGTGGTTTCACTGTTTACGTCTAAAGGAAAGAGACTAGTTAAGCTTCGAGAAACACAACTCAGACACAAAAAAGGGACAACCAAGGTATGTACCCTGGGATAAACCACCATGGTTTCTACCCAAAACCCCCTGGGGCTGGCTGAGCTCCCCAGCATTGTGTGTCAATCACACAGCACAGAAGTCTCAGATTCCGACATTCATTCATTTATTCTCTCACCTGGTGTTTACTGAAACGCAAGCTCTACTCTAGATTCCCAGAGAAGACCAGTAATAAACAGGAACAAACGAGAGAAAACGAACTGTGGGAATCAAGGTCTCACTCTTAGGAGACTTACGGCTCAGTGAAAGAAAGCAGATGAGAGCGTCCTTCAACACACACGTTCATAAACACCCTCTTGAAAACAAACTCTTCAGGATAGGTTTGCCATGGTTGCCCAAAGTCCAAACACTCCTTTAAACAAGCTCACAGGAGAGAATTTCCTCTCAAATTCCAAATTATAGCGTCAAAGACTCAGCTATTTGAGGTTCTTTTCCTCTCCCTTGAACGTCAGAACATACATAATGTTTTGAAAAGGCTAGCAAGTACTCATTTTTTTAAATGCCTAAATTCAATAGGTATGCATACAAAACTAATATACTGCTTCCCACAGTGAGGACTCAGGAGAGCTTAAAAATCATTTACTATCTTGGTTACACAAACCCACCTCCATAAGTTGTGTTGCTAAGTGGTAGAACAGAACTCTGCAAGCAAAGCGACCCATTCTGGTCTTCCTAACTTGATCGGGAAGATGGTCAAGATGGATTCTTTCTGGAAAACCATTCTTGTCCTCCAGTCCATGGCTAGAGTGGCCAGCTACAGAGAACTGTTTGCTGTTGGGTCTGCACTTCCTCATGAATCTAAGCAGTCCTAACAGAGAAGAGTCTCCCACATTGAATCTCATGGTGTTGCTAAGAACAAGCTTCTTATCGGAGAAGATGCGGTTTTCTTAAGTCTTACACGTCACTGTCTTGGATCTGATGGAGAACAATGGTTGCTTTGCTGAACAAATGAGTTTCCCAGCTATCTTGGTAGACTTCCAGGAGTTTGTCCAGAAACTGGAGCCCTTGAAAGACGTTAACTTATGTGACTAATGCTGATCTTGAGGATAACTGGCTGCGTTTGACACCAGATCTTCCAGCTTTGATATCAGATCACCCCGGGGCTTCACTGATGACACTGCCTGGCTCGTAGGGGTGCGTCTCTGAGCAAAGCACTGCATTCCACATTCTATACTGTTGGGCATGTTTTCAATCTCATCCATTTTGGCATAGGTAGGTGATACGGTTTTTCTTACTTTAAAACAAAGTCCTGTTGTTAAGAGGTTTCTATTTTGAGTTTTTTTCCTAGAAAGGAAAGAGAGATTAAATCGCCTTCTGTATGAAGGAAAAGAAAGATGTTTGTTTGAGAATCGAGTATCTGCCTTGACTGTTTCACTGCTGAGATGGAGCATGTTGAGATGGAGATATTGAGGTGGAGTTTGGTTCTGTGTATAGGTGAGATTGCCTTGAGAGGAAAACTTTGAGGCCACTTGTAATATATACTTTCCAAAATATCTTCTCCTCAGCCATCTCCTCTCAAGTACATGTTTTCAAACAGCTGGAAGACTCAGTTATTTGCTTGGACAGTTAAGAAGTCTAGGGAGAAAAATGGATGTGTTCGTCTGTGGCTTTTTGAGAGATTTGGTTTGGGATTGCAACCCACTCTTAGACAATAGGAATGTGTCTTAAAAAGAAACAAACACAATACTGTCTAGGGACAGGAGAGAGGACTGTAGAGCACCTACCGAGCAAGCATGCTCAGGACCTGAGTTCAGTCTCCAGCATCCATGCAAACCGCGAGGCAAGGCAGCATGTTCCGAAAGCCCCAGCACAGAGAGACTGACGGGCAAGAGGTAATGCCTAGTGTCCACTGGCTAGCCACCTCACCTTAACCCCAGGCCAAAAATAGAACATACGGTCTTAGACTGACAGTCCCATGTCCTAATACTACCCTGTCAGATTCTGTATGGAAACGGGCATGTGGAGGACAATCCCAGGAATGTGCACCTTGGGGACTGCTGAAATAGATCTGTTACCACCACAGAATCCAGATGGCAAGGGCCGGAAAGCAGAGGACAGAGTTTCTGGAACACTTTCCCATTAGGCTGTAGGCCATGCTTGTCTTTGAACAGGATTCTACTTCCCCAGGAAGCCATTTTGCCTGTTCTGAGCTCTGTTGCCACCACAGGCATGGTCTGCATGAGTGTGTGCACACACGCATGTTTGTGTCTGTGGAAGCCAGAAGAGTGTTTCAGATATCCTGGAACTGGAGTTACATGGTTGTAAGCTACCTGATGTGGGTTCTAGGAACTGACCTTGGGTCCTCTGCAAAAGCAGTTCACACTCTTAACCACTGAGCCATCTCTCCTTAGAGCAGGACACTTCTGCTTCATGGCTGCAGGCCTACAGAAAAATGGCTGTGCCAGAGTGTGACAGACCCACCCCTGCTCCAGCTGAGTCTCTTCCAAATGGTAACACCGTGAGCACCTCTGGTGATGGATCTTCAGAGAGTCCAGGAAAGCTCACAAAGGACCACGAAGATGGAACCAGTACTCTATTTCTCCTAAACATTCGAGCTTTTTCTAAATAGCTCACCTTCTCCTGGGGAGCAGCTTGTCGTATTGAAACAATTGGCTCTTTAACATCTAATTTACTCAAGAATTTGGATGTAAATTCTCCTAAGCATATACCTTGTAGTATAGCCTCTTTCCCAGAACCTAAAACAAATTAGATTAATCTTGCCAGACAGGAAATAAAAGTGCCTTGTGGGGCCTGTCTGAACCA